CCCATTACATTATTTAAGACTAAATTATATGAATTGTTAAAGAATAAAGTATATTACAGTATTAGGGAATTTCTACAATAATTTTTATGTAAAAGAATTTAAATTAATTATATATAACTTAATGTAAATGTAATCATGTGACGACCTATTTTTCATTTATTTTGCATGCCTAAATTATCTTCGGGCGAAACATGCTTGAACTTATATGTATATTACTGTGTTATCATGACCACCATGTTTTATGCAAATAAACGATTTGATTGATTGATTGATCGTGATACTGAAGTGGAGATAAATTGTTTTATATAGACGGTAATTAAAAAGAACAATTTCGAAAATGTTCCCAACACCGGTATAACTCTTAACGTAATTGAGCGACTTTTTCATTGCCAAATGAATAGTAAAGGATAGAAAAATAGTCTAATCTGAACCTTGGAGGATGGAAAAAAACATACTCATATCACAAGGTACATTGCAATAGCGGGCTTTACATAGACACTCTATAGCTCGTTATACGCGAAAGAACGTTAACTTAAAAAAATTCAAACAGGTGATCGCGCACGAGTACGTAACTGTATGAAGTGAGTGAGTGAGTGAGTATTGATCTTAGACTATTCCACCCTCAGAAGTGTCGTTTGAGCCATGATTTGAAAAAAAATCTGATATTTTGTTAAAAGTAAATAGTTATAGAGAATTTATTCAAAGCTTTTGTTTTATACTAAAATTATGATAAGTTTAATGTTACGCTTTCATCTATTCGTAACGTAAATTGGTTTGAAATAAAAATAATTTTCATGTGTTTTTATGGTCCACCTGTTAGTTACAAAGCGACAAACAATTTCTTGACATTTACTAACGTCTGTACATTGTATTCAGCGGCTGTAGTCTCTTGTGCAATGTATGAAGGAAAAGTATAATCAACCATTTGCGAATGTTCACAGAAATAAATGAAAAGCAATTTGTAGCAAGCGCTAATTAAGAAATCTGTTTGAATAATAATTATAATGTTAAGCCGTTACCCTCTGTCTGCAGAATGTCGATGACAGGTGTCGAACGGCAAAGAAATTACATTGTTATAGAAAGAACCTGAAGAGTTTGTACTATTCTTTCACATTCGCATTCTTTTTCGTTTGTACTTCTTCTTTGGGGTGTTATCTTCCACCTTAGGTCGGCAATCATTATGGCTATTTAGGTCCGTGAAGTTGCGGCTCGAAACAGTTCTGTGTACTCATGTTGAACCACTCTGAAAGATTTTGAAGCCATGTGATTTTTCTACGACCACGTCTTCAACGGCCCTAGAAGGAAGACAATTTTTTTTTAATTTAATTTAATTATCTTTCAATAAAAAGTGCCATTTTGGAAAGATAACAAAACTATGTTATGTATACGAAATATTATGTAAATAATAAGTTTATAAAGCAATTCTTGCTTATTTTGCATTTGTTTTACTTTAAAAGAAGTTCTAAAGAAATTGTAATTTATAAAGTACCATAATAATATATTAGAATTAGACTATTCTAAACATTGCATAATTTTTGCAATGACCTAACGTTTTGTGATGAGACAATGTACTGATAGTTTTTCGCAATATCTACGTTATTATACACACGTCGAATCCAGATCTTTGAATTTGGAACAAATTATAAAAGTGGTTGAACTAAAACGTTAAAAAAATTATGCTTTATTTACATGTCCGATCATTACCACTTATTATTTGTTGCGTTACATTCCAAAACCGTTAACTTATTAACCCAAAACCATCACAGTATATTGTTCATCCCCTAAAACATTATATTAACCTTATCTTCTTTTGTGTACAATGCTGTAATAAAAAGAAAACTACAATATCGCTTTCCATAAAGCAATACCTTCGTATATGTGCTGCGTTTATATTTCACTACCTCCCTATTGTCAGCGAAACCTGTCGTCGTCGATCCGGCTCAGCCACAATCGCTTTGAATGAATCAGGTAGTAAGGCAGGAAGTAAATAATTTAATTATCTTATGGTACTATCGCGATTTCCGTTTTATTGTGATAAATACTGTTCAGAAAATGTTGTTGCGGAATTATAGTGCTAAAATAGCCGTATAAGCATTAGCTTAATCTCATGAATTTAATATTTACCACATTACCACAACACATACAAAACATGCCACGCAAAAATAGTCACGCTGTGCCTCCGAAATGCGTAATTATAGAGGTTCATTGTATTATTTTAACTTAACAAAATACATTAAGTTTGCTGTCTCAATGGACAGAGCTTTAAATAAGCTGCTCGACGTGTTTGGACTCGATTACTTAGTGTCTGAGTTTTGTGTACTGCACTTTAAATGCACACAGCAATATATATACATATATTTACATAAAGTCACATGCGCCCTCTCAACTAACGGTGGCAGTGTTATTGCAGTCAGTACTAACTGTAATAACACTGACACCGTTGTAATAAATTGAAATACATTACTTGTAACATACCTATTTATAACATAACACTCTAAAATGACGGCTAACGCGAAGTTAGTTACATACTACCAAACTGTTTACGGACTGTGAACTAAATGCCTCAATTTATTTAACAATATCCTTTATAATGACTTTGATATTATTATGATTACCGAGACTTGCTTTCAGAAGGACGTATTAAATTAGAATTATGTGATAGTAGGTACCATGTTCTAAAATGTGATCGAGATTTAGTAAAAACTAATAGGAAAAGTGGATGTGGAGTTATGACTTGTATTAAACGCGAGCGTAACGCGGTGCTAACTTAGTCTAGTTCGAACGTCGTTCGAATTAATGTGCAACTATACCTGAAAAGTCACTTAATAATAATATCAGCTTGCATTTATTCGTATGTTACGTGCCGCCTTATAAGGTAAAAACCACTAGGGCTTTAGAAGACGTTGTAGCAAAAATCAAATCTTTTATAAATACAAAACCAAAAGATCACTATATCCTGTTAGGTGATTTTAATATGTCATCCATAAAATGAAATTCTGATGTTTCACACACTCTCAATCTGTTGCCTGTGATCAAACTTCGGAGAGTATTCTTTTTGAGTTTGCAGATGAGATTGGTTATTGTGGACTGAATTTTGATGAAATTTGCTGAAGATTGGTGTTTAATATAAGTATATCTCCTTGTGAAAGAGTTCGTCCAGGGAAGCACTGCCATCTTACCTATTTCTGCCGCCAAGCAGTGATGTCAGCATTACTGCGTTCCGGTTTAGAAGGGTAAGGATGCTGGTGAAATTACAGGCACATGGGACTTGTCAACTTATGTCTCAGGGTGACGGACGCAGTGGTAGTGCCCCTCAGATCTTTGTAATTTAATGCTCTGAGTGGCCCTGTAACTATTATGGACAGGCGTGAAGCTTACCTTCAGGCTTGTTCGTCCCGTCACTTGAAGTTATATATAAAAAAACTGAAGCAGTATAATCTTATTGGAAACCACAATGACGATGTGCTATATTTGTGTTTCAGTACGTTACCCCTAATTGTTACCACAACTAAAAACCCGATTTTACCGCAAGATATTTGCCACCCCCCGTTACATGTATAAGATTTATTTACTAAACTTTTAAAGAATGCACACTCGGAACGCTTCTTAAATTCTAAAGGTAATTATGACGAGATTAACTCATTTTTTGATAAAATTGACTGGCATTCTTTGTTTACATCACGCACCATTGACGAGGCGGTGAAAATTTTTTACTTGAAAGTGAATGATGGTTTTAATTCGTTTGTTCCAAAAAACTTGTTAGTAAAAGTTCCTATCCAGTTTGGTATTGTCCCGCTTTCGTTAAAATCATTCGTGAGAAATTTAAGGTACACAGAAAATGAAAAAATGGAACAATCAGGATTGTTCCATTTTTTCCATTTTCTGTGTACTCACGAATTCGTCATAATCGCGAGATTACGACGAATTCGTTCTCCTGATGGAGACAAAAACGGGTGCAAGATATATGTTTCAAAAAAATTTACTATGCACTATCAAAATATTATTGATATTCACCAAAATATTTTTGGACGTACGTAAAATCAAAAAGAGGTGATTCGAGCTATCCTGCACAGTTTACTCTTGGCAGTAACATATACACCAGTGGCGTCAGTATCTGTACAGTCCTTAACTCATTTTTTGAGAGTGTTTTCAAAGTACCATCATCAGTATCGGCAACTTCGACGTTGACACCCACGACATTTCAGCTACCCCTGGATTACGTATAATATTAAACAACTTATGAAACGAAGGGACGAAGCACTTAACAGGGCACGTACAAGCAGTTGCACTAGCTCGAAAAAGACTTTCTATAAAGAATTTAAAAAAGTTGTTAATAATGCTTTGTATATTGAAAAGAAAACTTACTGTCACACCTATGTAAATAACCAGAGAGACCCGCGGGTATTATGGGTACACATTAAAAATATTGTAAAAATTAAAACTAAATCTGAATTACCAGTGCATATGTTTAAAGATCCCGACTTAATAAATGATCATTTTTTACAAGTGCCTGGTAATGTACAGACCTCCGCATGCGATATGTGCTACTTCAAAAATAACTGCTGTGTCAGAAACCTTTACACTTAAAACATAGGAGGAAATCGAAGTATTGAAAGTTATTCATTCCTTAAAGTCAAAGACAGTTGGTCTCGATGCTACATCATTGGACTTGCTATTGCCCTTATTGCCTGCTACTTTGCCGGTCATCACTGCTATGGTAAATAGATCTATTGTAAGTAGCACATTTTCAAATGAGTGGCTTCTTGCGGTTATTAGGCCTATACCTAAAGTAAACAATCCATCTGCTTTAAAGGATATTCGCCCAATAAGCATATTATCTTGTGCATGAAAGATTCGTGAAAAGATCGTAGTTAAACAACTTACCACGTTCTTAGAAAAGAACAATATTGTTCCACCTGTACAGTCAGACTTTAGAAAAAACCATAGCACAACGACTGAAATGATAAATGTAGTCGATGATATATTACACGCTCAAGATAATGGAGAAGGTATTCTGCTAATTTTACTTGACTTTTCTAGGGCCTTTGATTGTATAAATATTGGTTTGCTGCGGGCAAAGCCTGATTTCAGCGAATGATTTCAGCGAATCCACTATCCATTGGTTCAGCAGTTACTTAAAAAACCGGACTCAATGTGTTGAACTATCTGATGAAAATGGATCAAAAATATTGTCAAAATCTCGTATGGTCGTAAGAGGTATTCCACAGGGATCACTTTTGGGGCCAATTATTTTCGCCATTTAGTTCGCAGTTTAATTCCACCCATAGACTGCACAGTGTGCTCGAATACGCTAGCCCCATCTGGTTTCCGATTTACAACATTCACAAAGCCATATAGAACGCATCCAGATAAAATATGTAAAATTCTTAAAGTTTAAGTTTAAATATAGCGTTGATTCCTATACCGATAGTTGTCGAAAATTGAATTTGAAGACACTTGAAGATAGAAGGGTCATGTCTGATTTAGTTTTACTATATGACATTATTCAAAATTGGCTTGATTGTCCTAAACTCGTCACTGGCATTGGATTTTCGGTCCCACGCTATCGCACAAGACATACAGGCTTATTTTATGTTCTAACTAATTATGGACAAAACGCAGTGCTCCCAAGGTTATGCCGTACATATAACAATATCTTTCATGATATAGATTTGTTCACTGAGTCAAAAAGTACCTACAAGGACTTGGCTTACAGGAAAATTGCGGTATGAAATGAATCGCAGAGCCAGTTATGATGTTTGCCATTATTTGATTAATACTGTGTTTTATTTTTGTTTTTCTTTTTACTTATAGGTTTTTAATTTTTTTCCTTTCGTAGGACAAGCCGTGTTTATTGTTATTAGATTTTATGACACGCCAAGTGATAAGTTTCTCTTTCTTTTTATTAGATACTTAACATCGTCTAATACCATCAAGTATATAACCAGAAACAGAGACGGAATAACGGCCATATATTCCTGGTAACACATTAGCGATACAGCTCTTATAAATATCAACTCTCGTTTGAACTGAAATATAGACAGGCTGACTGACCTGTGTGTACGTCTCCGTATATTCCAAAAATATTCTATATTTATTATAATAAAGATAATATCTCTAACAATGCCGTGCTGTTCTATTCGGTGGTGTGAGGAAAAACAGCAAAACATCTAGTTACAAAACAAACGGAATCACATTTCAACGGTAATTAAATATGTAATTTTGCAATTTTCGTCCATTATAGCAAAGCGCAAGTTAACTGGTCGATTTGAAATGAAACAATTGACGACACCCATTGACGACACCCGTCAATTGTTTCGAACACGGGACACAGGACGGGAACAATTGGAGCGCAGTTGTCACAGTAATGATGTGACAGAATAGTTTTCGAACAAATTAAATGAATAAATTTTAAAAAATTCGTCTCTGTTTCTGGTTATATACTCGATGTCTAATACGCACTTATCTGTTCGGATTGGCAATGAGAGACAGCCTGTTTATTACGACTAAAGTATATGTGTAATCCAGAAAATCTGTAATTACGTACATTTAACTTTTAAATCTGACTAGCATTAATTACAATTTACTCGTATTAGGATGTTGATTTCTTAAATAAATGAAAAAAAAAAACTATTAACAACAATTTTTCGTAAGGCCCAAATCGCTTTTACACTTCTTGTGATGTATGAATTCGTAATAATAAAGTGTCGCAAATCGAGGCATCCGAAGTTTATAACGATGATAGCTCCTCCGATCATTCCCTTTAGATCCAATGGGCCAGACCCATCAATGTAACCAATCGGAACGTTTTGATAAATTGAAAATACTTTAGTTAAATACTGAAACCATATACAAGCCATTACATATATTGTTTAATAGATGCCTCAGTGAAGGAGTATTCCCAAATGTATGGAAAGCAGCTCGTATCGTGCCCGTGTATAAGGGAGGGCCGAAGCAAAATGTAAAAAACTACCGCCCAATCTTTATTTTGCCTACGGTGTCTAAAATTTTTGAAAGATTAGTACATCGTGCTATATACCCCTCGCTACACAATATTATTATTCCACAACAGCATGGTTTTGTGCAACGGAGGTCAACTGTAACTAATCTACTTATTTACACAAATCATTTATTTAACAATATGGATTCAAATAAGCAAACTGACAGTATTTATACTGATTTTCAAAAGGCATTTGATAGAGTTGACCATAAGAGACTTCTTGAGAAAATTGCTTTTAATGGTATCCGTGGTAACCTTTTGCGTTGGTTCAAATCATATATAACCAATCGTACACAAAAAATAGTGATCAAAGGCTATGAATCAGAGACAGTCAGAATTAGTTCAGGTGTACCTCAAGGCTCTATTCTCGGACCATTACTTTTTGTACTTTATATTAATGATATTAGTAACTGTTTTAAATTTTGCAATTTCTTACTATACGCCGATGATTTAAAAATCTATCATAAAATTGAATGTACTCAGGACATTGAAAGCTTTCAGGGAGATTTAGATCGCTTTACCACTTACTGTACTGAAAATAAATTAAGTCTGAGCCTTAACAAATGTAAAAAGGTAACATTCACTAAGAAAAAATCGTACTTTGGACATTCATATGAGCTTTGTGGAGTAAGATTGGAGACGGTTAATACTATTAAAGACCTTGGAGTTACGCTTGATTCCAAGTTACATTTGGACACACATGTTGAGAGTATCATCAACAAGGCCTGTAGGTCATATAGCTTTGTCATGCGCTCCAGTGTAGAATTTAAAATGCCTTCATCTTTTTTGATTTTATATAAGTCACTTGTTAGATCTCAATTAGAATACGCTGTACCAATTTGGAATATTTTACAAAAAATACACACTCAATATAGAGAGAGTGCAGAAAAAATGTTTACGTTGCGTAAACTATAGGTGTAAAGGTTACAAAATTAAGTATGACCAACTTCTTGAAAAGTATAATTTACTAGATCTACATTCCAGGCGTCAACAGTTGGAGTGCATGACTCTGTATGACTTATGCAATAACAGATATGATTGCTCTGATATTGTTAACAGTATATCATATAAAGTCCCCAACAAAGTCCACATGCGTTCGTCACGGATTCACCACTTGTTTGCTACTAACACATGTCGCACTAACGCTGGTAAGCGATCACCGTTGTTTAGGTTAAAAAAATCCTTTAACAATACATTTAATGAATTTGATATACATGGTACACGTGTTGGCACTTTAAAAAAATTGATTATTAATAAATTAAAGCAAATAAATAATAATCATAATTCATAAACAAAAATCATTACAACTAGTGGGCAATTAGTTATAGCATTTATATTTGTAACTGTTTACATAACCTGTGCTTAACGGTGTTGGTTACTCATTAAGTCACTATTTGTTAGTATAATTAAGTACTATTTTTAAATGTGTAACTGTTTGTTGACCCCAATAAACTAAAAAAAAATAAATAAAATAAAGTTAAATTCAAATACATGAGAGCAAAAGTATAGAACTCTTGCTGTTGTTAAAGTTTGATTCTGCAGACTGCCAACGAGGCGTAAGTATAAATATGTTATTAATTGCGTAGTAACTTACTGTTTTTACGGAGCGGAGACGACCTTACTTTTGGGATAAGAGTTAGTCAGTTTGTGTATATTTCTAGGATATTCCAATCCACCACCGAATTTGCTAAACCTATCACATATTATAAGAGATGTTTCCTAGATAAATAGATTTTAATTTACCAATCGTAGAGGAATCTTCCTTTTTTTTCCATCCTCAAAGCTTACATCACACACCCTCGTCATTGGGTCTTGAAAAAGTTTCATTTTTATTTCCAATTTCGAATTTTCTCTTTTCACAAAACGGAATGATAGACGATAACCTTAAAGTCAAGTCAAGGCCGATTTGGAAACTACATTAAAAGCTCAGACTAAGATACTAAATAATGTATATATATGTGTGTATATATAATATGTATCACAGGAATATTCTATATTATATGTTATATGTGTATATAGTTATATATATGTGATATATAGCAATGTGTATGTATATTATAATACGTCCGTAGTAAGTTTTTGTGAAGTTTGCTTAAGAAAGTATTCGGTTCAATTTGTACATCGTTTGCTGCTTTGTGCACCATTAACAGCCCTTCACCTAAAACTTCGTAATAATTTGTAAGGTTCCCTGGAAGAGATCGCTATCTAGCGAGAAGGCCGCCGATTGTATCTTTAACTATGTTTTATCTTTTTTGTATTGTCACTGTTTATTATTTTGTGTGCAATAAAGCTTATTCTATTCTATTCTAAGATACCCTAGGTGCTAATGTGCACGCACTGCGACTTTGGCCAAACGCAACTTACCGAAATTAAAAGATTCATTAATTTAATATATCACACATACCATATATTGTATCATATACATATATCTTAGCGATGTCTAATTAAAAGAATCGTGAAGTACCAAAAGTATACGTCTGCATTTCGGTAGATGCAACGATAGATGGGCATTACATCATAAATTAGAAACATGTTATTGGAAATAACAAGCACAATTCCGTACGATTTCCTTGGTTGCTTGGTATATAAGTACCTAAATCTATGATTTCAAGCCAAAAAGAGATATCAGTTGCCATGACCACCAGCCGGTGTACTGAATTGTTTTCCTTGACAACACTTGTCAACTCGTTCAAGCGTATTTTTTTTGTACATTTTTATCTTCTTTGCAAATACCAGCGTCTAATCTAAAAGTAGCATAAATTAGTTAAAATCTAGATCATTACATCAGTGTTATCCTGGAATATTATTAAATTTACTACATTCGTGGGTTATTTAACAACGTAAACATGGTAAGCAGTGCAATTTAATTAGTAATGTTGTAAAGGACTATTATATAGACCAAATTTTTCGCGGGAAGATTAATGGTATCGATTTACTAAACGGGAACCGTAGACTTATTATTATCGCAAGATAGTTATAGTACACTGTTACTAACAAATTCATTTTATTATTTCAGCCGCCAAAGGGGAAAGCTGGCAAAAAGCCGCCAGGTAAATATTAGTAGCGAATGTGTTAACATCCATTTCAGCAGTTTATAATCTATCTAGCAAAAAAGGAAACTATATTTATTAATTTTGTTTTAGTGGTTATCATCGATGACGTTGATACTTCGGAGATGACACGAGATAAACTGGAGCAATTTATCTTGAAAGTGAAAGAGGAACTAGAGAAAGAGAGAATCGAAAAAAATTACTTCCAAATTGAAAGAGATAAAATAAGAACGTTCTGGGAGATCGCAAGACAGCAGTTAGAGGAAGTTAAAACAGAGTTAAGAAATAGAGATCGAGCTGGTGAAGAAGCACTGGAGGAAAATGAAGCGTTTCTGGAAGTCGAAAAGCAAAAAATCAAACACTTAAAATACGAACAACAAGCAGCCGGAGCAGCTTTGCGATCCGAAAATTTAGTGACTCTGAAAGCTGCTAAAGAAGATTATACCTGTCAAGAAATGGAATTACTGTGTGACAAACGGAATTTGAAACAAGAAATGCGTGAGAAAATAATAGCATCTCAAGATGAGATGCGAAGAGCTAAGCTTATACACGCCGAACAATTATCAAAAGTTAGACAAGAGTTTGAAGAGAGGGTTCGACAAATAGAAGACAAAGCTGAAAAAAAGCTTACTGAAACCAAATTGGAATTGTCTGATAAACAAAAATCAGAAATTGAAAATACCGAATATCGAAAAAGTAAACAGTTGTCTGAATTGATAACTTCTCATGAAAAAGCTTTTCTCGATTTAAAAAACTATTACAATGATATAACTTTAAATAATCTAGGTAAGTTCTTTATCAGCATTTAGTAAGAACAAAGTAATTGGATGATTTCTTAAATTTCATTTGTTTTTGTAGGTTTAATAAGCGGTCTTAAAGTACAATTAGAGGAACTGCAGAAAACAAAAGAACGAGCCGAAAAAATTGCAAAAGACGCAACGAACAACACAAAGAGTCTCGTGGAACCCCTAGAAACATCCCTGAAAGAAAATGCGGAGTTGACAGAAAAGTTATCTAATTACGCTCGAGACAAAGCCTTATTAGCAGTAAATTATTCATAATATTATGCTTAAAATACTTAAACCCAAAATACTACGTATCTAGTTATTGTCTACCTAATTCTGGTGGCAATTTTTAATATTTAAGTTTTCGTGCATATTATCGTGTAATATTAAATACTATTCCAGGGTACTACACAAGAATATGAAGTATCATCCAACTTCATGATAATATTGTAGAATATTTAAATAATAAAAATTGCCACTGAAGTAGGTTGCAAATACTTGCCCGAAAATTACCCATCTGCCTAGTTAGTCATAGATTCTAGTCACTAGCTGCCCAACTTTAGCATTATTTAATTTTGTCTATTCCTGCTCATTATGTCCTATATTCGAATAACCATACATTATTAGCTCTCAGTCACAGTTAAGACAGAAATTTTGATTTGACATTTTCCGTACACATTATATATTTTTTCTATATAATACAGCTAATATTGAATTTTTGTCCAGATCAAAACAAAAGAGCTCGCATCGCTTGAACAACAATTTGAAGTTCTGAAGTGGGAGGCCGAAGTTTTACAAGTGCGGTTTGACAGAATACAAGGAGAAAGAGATCAGTTGAAATGCAGATATTCGAAAGCTGTACAAGAAGTGCAGCAAAAAGCTGCGCTGAAAACCGCACTTTTACAATTCAAAGCCAAAGATTTGAAATGTAATGATATGCATCCTCACGAGATAGCTGTAAGTCGTCACTTGCTTCATAACTTATGGAGGAACTTGCTGTGAATGAAGTTTCAGAATTAAGCTTAGGGCTGACCTGGTTTTGTTAGTGACAGAATATCAACTATAGCTTTTGGAGTATTCTCAGTATTCCTGCACGGTTATACCAATAAGACATTGTTTGTTTCACAGCAATTTGAGTTCAGCGTTGTTAAGTCAATAGGGACATAATATTGATAACCCTAATAATGTTATTGGTAATTCCGTTTTTAGGAACTTATTAGGCTTAGAGAGACTCAAATGGAAGACATTCGTTACGAAATAGCAAGGTTACGTAAAGCACACGACGACCTTGTAGCGACTTACGAAACTAAGCTTGCCAAGATAGGAGTACCAGTTCAGGAGCTTGGTTTCAAGTAAGTTATTTATCTATAAAATAACAAGGACTGGAAAGCTTTAGAAAACTAATTCATTCATTCATTCATTCATTCATTATTTGCTTCATTGTAGAACATTTCATTTAGATATTAATAATCATTACTGTAAAGCAAAAACTGTAATTACCCAAAACGCAGGGTAGTATTTTATAGGATTTCTATTTTCAGACCTCTGCGTGCTGTTGCTGTAGCTGGTTTGAGTGAAGTATTTGGCGAAAGTTCCAGCGATCAGTTAAAACACGCCTAGTTAGGCCTGCCTGTTAGTATAGATATATTTAAAAAAAACACTGATGATGAAATACATAAAATAACTGTGTCAAATACTTATGTTATTATGGATCAATAAATAAATATTATTACAATATATTTATTAACACTCTATCTACACAATTTTAATGTCAGCATTACTGCGTTCCGGTTGTGAAGGGTAAGTAAGGGTGCTAGGGAAATTAAAGGCACATGGGACTGATCAACTCATATCTCAGGGTGATAGGCGCAGTGGCAGTGACCCACAGATCTTGCAATATAAAGCTCTGAGTAGTAGTGTAACTATTATGGACAGGCGTGTAGCTTACCGTTCATTTCGATCGACCCGTCACTTGATATTATTAAAAAAAACACTATAATGCTTGCTGACGACAGCATAATCTTTCAACACGAGGTGAAAGGATTGAGATGAAAGGATATGCCAATGGCCCCTACTCGCCAATTTTTACTCAGAGTGCGCTAGACGTATTAGAAAGGAACGTGTGGGGTGACTCCTTTCGTGCACCACGTGCACTTGAAGACGTTGTTGCTTAACATTAAGTGAGGTTATGACCACGCTTTCGTTTATTGTTCGTATTTGGAATTACAGATTTATATACGTAAAAATAAATAAAAACTGGTAATTTGAGGTATATCCGCTATTCTGGTATCAATATAATGGGTTTACTATTGATTTTGCTATAACGTACGGTATAATGGAGGGTTAGCCGCGACTCGCGCGAGAGCGACATAGAACATAGTATCTCGCGCTTTATGTTGCTGCCGTGCCTATTACCATGATTTTGCGCGAACCGTCGGCGAGCTTGTCTATATTGAATAGTTAGACGCACAGCCCGAACTGGTCGGCGTAATCTCAAATTGACTTCCATCAACCTATTTTTTATCGTCTGGTCGGAAATTTCTATACCAGTAGCCGTCCTTAGTGTATTTTGAAGATCTCTTGCAGTTGTGATGCGGTTACGTCAAGCACAGCGACGTAGGAATCTTGCAAACATATAGTTTTTCTCTTTCGACCTTGACCACGCCTCCGTGAGTGTTCTCCCGTCTTACAGTATCGCTTCCAAACTCTGTAGATAACATAAGCATAGTTCGACCCTCCTCCAGCAAAGCGACAGCTCTGGAGACATACAATTTAGTCAGATCTGGCATTATGACCTAAACTCACTTGTTTCAATGAATAACAATACTCAAAAAACTCATTTCAATCTCTATTAATACTCAAAAGACCTGAGAAATGACTTAAAATGAGTTTTCTGTGATTACAAAGTAAAGAAAACTCAATGGCGTCAATTTGTTTTTAGGTGTTTATAGACTCTTGGCCACTTTATTGGGACCTACTAACAAAAACGCGGATGCTCTTTTGTTTTTTAATTTCTTCGTAAATGCCTCTACATTATTTAGTGGCCAGTTATAATTAAATCCTTAGGCAAAAAGTTTAGTTCTACTCATTGACTTACAATGTTCTACTTTAAAGTTTTGTTCCCCTAATTATTTTGAGCAGTATATTTATTTACTGACAATTGGCTATATAGCTTAGAAAGACAATAAATAATTAGGAAGCTAAAAATATAATAAAACTTAAACGAATTTTTTTTAAATGTAACAAAATCTAAAAAAGTTAGTCACGGAGTAACTTTTTGGAATTCCTTATTTTTACAGATGAGACCGCCGTTTGCATGGCAAATGGCGCGTCATGCTACGAGTTTGCTATGAAAGGAAAGCTGAACGGATTTCGAATGGGGAACGTAAACTGCATGGACAGTGAATTGTTTTTGTGAGGTCATAGTACAAATTTGACAAGGAAACCCAACTTACAGGCTTAAATAGGATTGTACTGAGAGCTCATAGTAGGCCCCCTGGTTACATACTCGATGCCAATGACATACCTTATTATAAAGGTAACCACAATAAATCTGTTAATATTTGAGAAATTTAAGATGTGTTAATTACTATTTAATTAACCGACTTCAAAAAGGAGAAAGTTCAAAATTTATATATGTTAGCGATAATTTGTGAATCGATTTTGATCATTCTTTTTTTGTTGGAAAGAGGGTACCTTAATATTGGTCTCATTTAAATTTGAAGAAAATATTCCACCTGTAAGGGTAGCAAACTAGGGGATGAATCCGGTTTCGCTCACTTTCCAGTAACCGATTTCAATAACATCTGCAAATAGATGTAATTCCACGAACTTTTCAGGTAGGTTTTTTTTTTGTAAAAAAATCTATCTATTATTACTAAACTCGTCCGTTACTGATAATACGGTTTATGACCTTTACAATCACTCACCTCACTTACAACATCACTTTTAAAATGAAAAGTAATGTCTATGTTCATGTACGTCTATGTACTTCATTTTCTCCTTGTGTTCTCAAGTTTCACCTTGTTTATAACTTTAAATTGTATAAAGTTGGACTTCGTTTATTATTTTAAATTGTATGCTGCTCAATAAATTGGAACGACTCCAAAATTCAAAAATGAGTATAGATGTTCTATTTGTTATCACTTACGTATTTTTATTTAAACTTCATCGCATTTGACTGATTCTTCTTTCTTTTTTCCTAGTTATTTTCCATTTCAAATCAAAATGATATATTTATAGTTTATATTATTTATCACGTCACGAATACGAATAAACAATAACAAAACATTTTTTTTAAGTAGAGTTTTAACGACTTTGGCATAATGCTATACAGCCTATTCTTCATTTTCTAAATTGACCCTGGCATTTCGCCGCCGCCGCGCGCCGTCCTTTTATTTATTTTTTGTTATTTTTTTCCGTCCTCGGCTTAGATTTCATCCTCTAAGCTCCTCGGCCGTCACCTTAGAGGATGGAAAAAAATAAAAGAAGTTAGTTTAGTTTCCATAGTCTAAGGCCGTCACACACGTTTGACAATAGACGTTCCGTTCGGTTCTTCGAAAATTCACGTCATTCTTGACGTACTAAATATTTTATACTTGAATGTTTGCAATTAATTTATATTTTTGACAAAAGCAATCACACGTACAAATAAATGAACGTTAGAAACATAACCATAATATTATTAACTAATTCATGTAACGAACTTTTACTCCGATTGCGTGGAACTAAACGTCAAAGAGGGAGTAAATTTGCGACTGATCCTTTTTTTGGGGTCTAAAGCCGAGATATACAGATCCGGCAGCGATCGATGGAAGGAATAAAATCTGGATGGAAAATAATCTTAGATTCAGTATCAAATATAGAAATTTACATTACAGCGGCATTACATCAATTAGTCACTATAACCCATTTAAAGTGTGAAACGCGCTCGGTTTGTCATCCTCCGTATAAATACACGGGAGTTAGACCCGCCGCGCTCCCGACACGCCACAAGCCCGTTCCGCACCCGCTCTCTGTGTGTTTCACGCTTAAGTTATTCAAGCTAATCGATCACTCTACTCCTATATCGGGCACACACGTAAAGGTCATTCGCATGAATAAATAAAACAAAGCATCGAAGCCAATAAGTGTATTTTATTTCCTACTACCTTTATTTATTTCTTTATGTACAAAACGGTCATAAGGCAACAGTTCCAAATGAATGAAAACGCATTTACGATGAATATTAATATTAATTCAAACATTTCGCATTTAATAGCAAGAGATTTTATGCCTCAACTTTAAAGATGTAGGGCTTGTTGCACAAGTGCTAGCGTCTCGTAAGAATTTTAAATAAGAAATTTGCCCCTATTTTTATTACCTAAGCGAACAATAAAAACACTCTTAGATACTATTAATTCTTGAATATTGTGGAGGTACGAAATAAATTATTTGGGGCTCTCTCATGCAACCATTGTTTCCACTTATAGCATTTTACAAAACGGAAAGACGTAAGGAAATCGCCAAAAATTTCAGAACAAATTGATAGCACGTGTACAACCGGCGTAAACGCAAGCTAGTACAAGTAGTTTTTGCTCTTAAAGTTAAATCTTTTACAAATGTGTAATTATTTCAAATCGTAGTGATTTGTGTTTGTTTTACAAAACATAAGTAGACTGTTTAGCCACTCTTTTGATTTGTTTTAAAATCTAAAAATTGTAAACAATCCCGTTTAAACGGGTATAAGGTAGGAGGTATATAATTTCTTTTTGATATAGGTACTCAAAATTCCTAGGTAACAATTTTTTTATTATTTTTGTGCCATGATCATCATTGTTTCAAGCTTCACGCCATGTCTTAAAGTTAATAGCCGCAACGATACATAAGGACAACAATCTGAAAAATGTGAATAAGACAATACATTTTGCAGATGAATCTAAAAAAAACAACGTGTCAATTTTTTTCACGTCCTTTTTTAAGCTCATTTCCAACTATGTATACTTCTTGAAGGAAATACTCGACATTTGCTTTAAAACTACAACGATGCGTTTAATTTATTCAAAAATTTCGAAGTCAATATATACCTGTATAATAATAATAGTGCAAAAGAAGTTAACATAAGCTCGTATGGTATTATGGCACGTCATGTAATACGTTGCTACTTTGTCGGAAACCTCAACGCCGATTTCAATCGGTTGTCTTTTATTTACTCGTAGTTAAGGTTAAAAACTGATGACAAAAGAAGAATAATCTTGAATTTGGAATAAACTAGGTACAATGCACACACATAGCAATACGTGTATTAATTTTCAGAATAAAGCTATAATTTTGCTATTAATATCGACTGACGCAGCACTGGCGACTTCGCACTAAACTGAAAATGTAACTACTGGAGATCGTCTTTTTTACTATATTGTAATTTTATTTCATGATAGTAGTTTTTTGTCATAAAATTGTAGTTCACCTACAACAATGATGTCATATTGCTAACAACATAATTGTCAAGCCAACCTTAGTATTGAACAGTAGAACACAAGTTTACAATTGCATCAGTCATTAGCATTGCAGAAGGTCACTTGTTGCATTGCGTACAGGTGTACCGAACAATTAGATAAGACGTCTTTGTAGGTTTATTTCCCATGGCACAAATAAAGCATTAATGTAGGTTAAAATCACTTGTTGCAATGTCAGTGCATTGGTCTAGAAACTTTGCGAGTTTCAACATTGACATTTCCTTAGACAGGCCACGTTTACTTACTTGAAGTATTTCAAAATATTTATTTAAGGCATGGTCAATGATTTAAGGTCAATGCATTTTTTGTAATTATACGCTTATTTTGAGAAATTTGCGTAAAGTATTAAGCTCGTATATTTTACAATCATTGCAGCGTGGCTTAATAAACACGTGACAAAAAATTTATACTATGACAAATATCGATTTCAAAACAAGCGCAGACAGATTTTGGAATATTTTTAAATTATTCGCAAAGTAAGTAGGTAATAGTAGCCTTGTAAATCAATTCGCTTTGCAGGACGAATATTTGAAGAGTGTGATCAGAAAGGCAAAAACGTAAGAGCATTTGTGCACTACGTCCGATTCGTATCTGGGGGTCTACTGTCGATCTCCGTCCGACATCCGTCCGAAACAATTACTGCCAAATAAGCACTGCTTGAGCAAATGAAAAGACGCGTGATGCGAATGAAGCTTCATTATTGATACTTGTCTTGTAATTTAGTCGAATATTACTTATTTAACAGTAATTGTTTCGGACGGATGTCTTAAGTCCTATCGAGAGTAGACCCCCTGTTTCGAATCCGAGCAATGACTGTCCGAAATGTCACAGCGATCATTTTACCTCTAAGTGTACAAGCAAGGGATATTCATATTATTTTCTCGTATTCGGATCGGACTAAGTGGACAAGTGGCATCCGAGTTTTCTAGATTTGTATAATACGAATCGGATGCAGTGCGCAGTGACATTTATGAACTAGTTTTACAGCGAGTAGTGCATTCAAAATACACTTCATTTTTGTATGCGTTTTTGTACAGTAAAATATTTCACATATATTCACGAATCGGCAAAGAAATGGTCTAACTGCGATATATATACGGAAGTATTAGCGTATATGCGAAGCCACGGGGCGTAAGATCTTAAAGCTCCTGAGAGTTTTCATAGGCATAGATTGCTGTGCAACCTAAGCAATCTGTACAGAATGAGAAACCAGCCATCACGTTTCATCTCTGTTACAAGACCATAACTAGAATGTTATTAATGATAATGGACTTGGACACGTCCAAGCGGTTTTTTGGTAATGGTTGACCCCATATAAAATAGTACATTTAATCAATGTAGTGTCGGTGAAGAACAACACTTTGATGAAACCTGCACGTCGAAGATGGTTCACAACTCCCGAGAAAACGTGTGAGGTCCCCAATCCGCATTGCGTGGTGATCTCAGAACCCTCGCCTGAGAGGGGACCCTTGCCCAGCCTTGAGACGTATAACCATTTATTGAAGATGACGTATATATTATTTTAAGACTGTATTACATAAATAACAATTTATGTATTTAATATTTTTGGAATATAGTGAACTGATTGTAATGTACGCGGTAGCTTTGCATATAAGAAACTAGCAGTCCGTGATATTTAAAAATGCAATCTCTACTTATGTAAATCAAGCCTATTTAGATACAACCTTTTTATGGTTGTATTTGTCTAGTCCCTTACATTTTACTGTACACATACAATAATATAGACTATTATTCATAATATCGACTTTCATTCGAGTACAGATACAAATGTACTTACTAATGACGTTTCACACAAACAAAAAACGTAAAATTTCACAGTTTATCTTTACAATTATGAATAACAGTCGAAGTTCGCATTAGCAATACTCAGAAAATAACGAAGCAAAGCCAGATACAATTATGATCACGTAGAAATTACACCAACTTTTTCTGTATAACCGAAAACTGTAAAAAAATCTGAAACATACCTAAAAATTAATTTGACTTTGAATTACGTCATGATATTGACAGATTGCTTCTCACTTTTAGTTAAGCTATCTTATATTAAGTAAATACTAAAATACACTACATAATCGTCACCAAAACTAAAGAAGTTCATATATTCATCCATCTCATTACTATTATTTAGTACACAACGTATTTAAAAATTTATTTTAATTGTTTTCACAATTAGCTAAGTAAAAAGATGACATGTACTAAGGAAAAGTCTCCTCAAGCTCTTGACCATGTGGAAACTCCATTAGAATAATATTTGAAAAAGTACTCTCCCGTAACTATACAAAAGCTATACAAAATTACAAATCTTTATGTAGCCACGCGTTTTACTTTCCGAGTAATGAAATAATTCTAGTGTAATTCCCAAATTAATATGGAGCATTATTGTCTGGTTTGTTATAAATAAGGAACTATTTTTCTAAAGAAATATCTCTAGTTTTGTAAACTCTAGAGTTTCTTAATCAACCTTTTAGTTTTGGCTCGATCTAGTAGTTTTCCTGCATGTATATGTCCTGAATTACACAGTGAGTATATAAACGTATTGCACGACTTTTAAAACACTTACATATAGTATGTATAATGTAATTTTCAATATAAATAAGTTAATCATTTCTTAACACATAAACACCAAAACCAGAAAACAATATCTATTTGTGAAATATTTAAAAATCAAGCACGTTAAGAACGTACAAGAAGACGTAGTTAGTATTGTATTTTGATCACGTTTGTATCACTTTGGCGTATCACAAAAAAAATGGGTTTTAGGACTCTTTTACAAAAGTCTGATAAATAATACGCTCGGTTATGTAATAATACGTATCTCATGTAGGTTAGAACTTAAAAAAAAACGTATGTATATATTTAATTTCAAATTCGAAACTAAATATTATTGTTCAGCTTCGACTTCAGAATACACCTCACAATAACGTTTTACTACATCTTTTTGTACAATTCTGCAAATATTACTTCTAAATATTCTAATTCTAAACATCGGTGAATGCCTACGACAGTCACAGGTACACACTTTGGTGTTATATAAGGTCTACACTTATTGCAAATTTATCTCACTTTAAGCAAACCGACATTCCAAGAAGTGTCTATCAAATTACTGCTAGAAAACCTCGCTAGTTCTTATTTCCAAATATTCTTCGTCAGTGATTATTCTATTAAACTAATTGCTTTATATAAGGCCGGATCTACACTTGTATCACTTTGACGTATCACTTCTTTATCGTGTAGGTATCATGATCGCAAGCTACGACAAATGTTACGCGATCCTGTGAAACTATCAATCCCAACCAGCTAACATGATTGACTTTTTTGGCGACGGCTTAAGTGGCACGGCATAAGTCACACACTACTACCGCACATTAATTGCACTGCATCACTCTGGTAGCGGAGCATAAAGAAGAAATACTGAGGGCGATAATTAGCCCCTGAAACACTTTTTCACATCCGCCAAAGTTTTACTAGTCATCACAATATTTATAGATTAGTAAGATCATAATCACATGGGCTGCATTCTGATTGCAAAATGGCAATTGGAATGCAGTTTGGATATAGCGAGCACACGCTTATTCCAATATAGAACACATGTTTGCCACTACTGTACGGATGAATTCCTGTTTAAAATTATTGCTACTGTAGTCGATGAACTCACGTTTATGACGACTTCCAAGATCTATGTGCCAGAAGAAATTGACTAAACTCGTGAAAAAGCTGTTTTCACAAAAAAATACGATGTCCGGTAGAAAGTAAATCTTGTCAAGTTTCAACTATGCTGATAGTAGATTTCATACAAACTGCTTTCCATCTGCACTCCAACTACTATATTACAGTTGCAGATGCAATCGATGTGCTCCCATGACTACACCCTGAAGCGTAAGTGTTGTATATTTAATGCACTCATTTTTGGCTACAGCGTTTGATTCATGAGATAGATTTTTTGCAGTGATGCACCTTACACACAATTTATTGCAGCAGCGACATTATCATAACGATTACCAAGGACACTTCAGTAGATGGCGCAAGATCGATAGTTTCAATAGGCACCCTTCGGCGATTGTCCAAATCCACTTATTGACCTATTGATATTACAATTTTGCCCTATGTTTGCAGGTACTTTTATAATCCATTATTCCGTGATAGATAAATATAAGCTAACTGACTTTGTGCCATCTGATAATAGTAATGTGTTAACGGCAACCTGCATGTCCCACGTTGAGTTGATTACTGTATGCAGCAATAATAAACCCAAATCCTACTGTTTCCATGAACTTGTTTAATCTTACTCGATATCGAGCCCAACAACCCCACTTACGGTGCAGGCGGACTCGTGATCAATAAAATTTTTAATCTAAATATGTGCGTAGAGTTTTAGCAATATCTAACTATTACTTTTTCTTCTTCCAGTCAACGTGTTTTTTATAACTTTTACTCACATAATTTATAAAATTATATCTGTTTCCATGGCTCAACAAGAATATAAATTTTGCTAATTAACAAAATGAATAAATTTTAAAAATAAACTTTATGCAGCTATTTAAATAGTAATGTCAATAAATCTTTGAAATTTTTATATATTTACACAAGTTGGAACCTATCTTATGGTCCCAAAGTAGAAACTAAATTGTCGATACATCAGATATCGAAATCAGCGAGAATTTCATAATCGTAAATGTGGTAATTATTTCATCATTAACGCATTATTCACAAGCCTTTATTTATTAATGTTTAAAAAATACGCAACCATTTAGTACACTAGACAACCGTTAGAATGCCTTTTTAGCAACCACTATAATGTCACGCTAAATCTAGAAATTCAAACTTAATAAAACGTCGCAAAGCTAAACATGTTCGTTCGGAACATTGATTACTTGTTCAGCTCTATTTTGGATGTGTACCATGAATCTCATTTGTTTGTATTAGTTTGAACAGTGAGCGAGTATTGATGAATTTTTTAAAACTTGAGGCACAGGACGGAAGAATCGATACTGACTAATAAATAACTTGGCAGGTACTATTATTTGCATATTAAACGCGATATTATCATATTCAAGTTTCTTATGTAGCTTCGAAAAAGTTTTATAACGTGAAAATGTATTAGGTTGTTTACTTATTATTCTTGAACGTGTTAACTTTACTACTATCTAATAATTATTTTACTGACCGCATGCACTAAGCGTCATGTACTTGGGACTTATTATAATTTTATGAACAAATCTAGCGTTTGTAAATTTGAATATATGAAAAAAATGTCTTAAGCGAACCAACTTTTAACATCTAAATGCTCACAATAAAAAAAATATTACATTACTACTTACAAACTAAAATGATATCGTGAATTGTACTGCGGATGAAATTTAGTATTATAAATATTTTGTTTAATATAGTACCTTGTCGATGTACAATTTTATATGCGTAATTGTCGTCATTAAATATAATACGTAGTTTCTTTTTTATAAATTATAATATATGTATATTCTCACTTTCTATGTCTGCAGGTATGTTACTGAGCTCTTCAAAATGAACTATGGATTATCCTATAATGTCGGCGTATGTTTACGGATTATCTTACAAATAATTTCTTCAATGTACAATAAATATCGTCGACGTATAACGTTTCAAAATACCATTTACTTTAAACACTTACTATATAATATCATTAAGGGAATTCATTCAGGCAATTTGTTTGTAAAGGTTATTGCTATACGAGCGTCTTACCAATTAAATACATAACACCGAGATTATAGTTCGTGTCAGCAATTATACAGTCTTGAGATTCCATTGGGAATTAGGCGGGATCGCCGGGCGACTACACTGGATACAGCTTTTACATGACATTTATATATAAGTATATATTTTCACCTCACTAGCTCGGAAAGGCTTCCTTCCTTTCTCGTTAGAAATCTGCGCGCAAAAGCGTTTCTTCCACGCTAGCGTGGAAAAAGTTTTTGAAATTCGAACTTGACGATGGACTGTGGTGCACCTAACTTTTTCTTTCAATGAAAAAAAAAAACGTAATGACATATTCAACTACGCAATGTGGCGTACATTATTTATGTAATATAAATCCGTTGGTATATTTTATTCTTATTATTGTTGACATTAAATTGACAATAATAACTAATTTTATTTATTAAAACTGATTTGTTATGGTTCAATTCTTTTTCTGTCATCTACCATTTTCCTCGCTATAGTGAGGTGAAAAGTAGTGTGTTTCGCTCGGTAGCAAAGTTGTTTTGCGTCTCGTGCCTTAAAACCTCGCTGCGCTCAGGATTCTATTTTCGAATCAATCTTAGGCACCTACGCTTGCTCAAATTTCAAAACAAGCACTCGCGTCAAACAACAACTTTGCAGCCTTAACAAATAACTATTAAATTTAACGTGTGCATATCCTCTGAATTCATTTAATCAGTTGATTAATAATAAAATCTAATCTAATCACAATATACAAAATTTGACAGACGGACGCATACGGTAACAGTAAACGCAAATGATAATTTACACGTTGCTTAATTTTTTTAAATTTATATATCAGCACGCGTGCAATTTGACACCATTAGCATACGAGCATAATAAAATCTTATATATATGTGTATATATATATTTAATTATTATAGGAGACAAAATCTTTTATATGCCTAAATATATATATATTTATTTTCGTGACACTATTTTTCATTACAAAACAAATGCATTGATAACTTTTTAATTTGAGCAAAATTCATGAACTCGTGTGTTTATATTTATATAACGACTTTATACAGGTAACATTAGTATTAAAGTTTATGTTCTCTTGATTATATTGCTATGAAAATTATTATTTAAAATGAAAAACACTGTCACGAAACATTTCTTTTTATTTTCACAACGCGTTATAAAAATTTCTTTCGCCCACTCCTGTTGTATCGCTCCCATCGTCTCTGCTTTGTTACGCAACAATTTTATCATTGAGAATGGAAACTGCTATTTTTTTTACAAAATCACATATCGAGCACAATTTCTTCCTAAATGTTTATTCTTCACGTTATATTTTCGTGATGCACTTTATAGCCGATGCCGCCTCTTCAGGAGTCCTGTCATCTGCAAAAGAGAGAGTTTCTCGTTCAGTACTTTGTCATGTCACCACTTAATTAGTACCTATTTCTAATACTAGTTACTAATACTAGTTTTGCAATATATTTCATAAATCATGGCTCTTTGTCACTATTTCTCATTGTATCATTTACCTTCTTGATTGTGACCTTTACCTTCCTCTGAATTCAAAATAACTATTTCTCAAAACATCTGTATGTCTATATTCCTCGGAAGTTTTCAAAAGATATTTTTGAAGAACTTCTAATATTTTAATGTTGGTATAACATTACATAATATATTATTGAATTTAAATTACTATGTACATATTCATTGCATATTCTGGTTACGTACAACAAAAAGTAAGTATATTTTTTGAATAGGTACTACTAGTAAAAAAAATGCAATGTGCGTAAATTAGTAAGCTATTATTCCTATATAGTCATAAGAAAATCGATTCACAAATTTAATTTGTAAGTATTCTGAGCATGACATTGTACTAAAAAAATACAACTGACAAGAAAAAGTACATTTTTGAGTTTTTAAGCTAGTTTATAATTAGTCTATTTACTCGATACATTGTTTACCTACTGTGTTATAAAGCTTCAAAATACTTCAGATTGGGCATACTTAGATGGTTTTGGTATTTTTGAATGCATAAATAATTACGATCTTAAAAAGCATTCCTTTTAATAAATCGCTTCAGATGAAATGCTGTTGTACAATATCGCACCTCGATATTGATTTTTCTTGTGCAGTACTAGAAAATTGCGTGTAGTTTTTGTTATTTAGCTTTGCCTTCTATAATGTGGGGAAGCGATATAACGAAGCTGAAGCCTTCAGACATACCTCTCTAAAGCTGGTAAGTGTCACATTAGGCGTTCACGAACGATGACTTGGTCCTGTCGGATTGACAACAACATTTCTTAACAACCTTTTACATTATAGAAAATTGTTCGGTACTCCAAACATTTTCAAAAATGGTTAAAATACAAATTAAATTCCTTTTTAAATAATGCTATGAATAACCATGGCGGTATATATTTACCATACATATGTATATAATTGACTTATCGAGTAATGAACTAACATTATGGCAATGAATTTTGAATGTAATGAAAATGTGTTTAATTATGACATAATATTTAAAATCTTTGATTGCTTAATTACAATAAATTGTGATTTTTCAATATATGTGTAATTAACGCGATTGCTACGAATGCTTGAATGTAAAATGTGTATTTATGTTTTAGACATAAATACCGTAGATTGAAAACCTAACATAATACACTGATATTGTTAAGTAATAATTTAGTTTGTAAATTATATAAAATTATTAAGTTATTCTTCAGCTTTGATTTATGTAATTATTTATTAATACTCTACGTAAACACACAGCGGAATGATTTAAAAGTCTTACCCAGATAACGAGGCCGAATTGGAAATCGGTGGACTATTGGATTCGAAGCCTTCTTTAGGCTTCTCATTCGCCAATTGCATCTTTAGCTGGTGTCCGAAGCAAGCTAGATCTTCTCTAAATGTGTCCGATCCTGGCGTGGTCGGCTTCTCGTCGTCTCCCGTCGCCATGCCTTCTGCGTCACTCTGTAACGGAGCCTGTTCAGACTCCTCCTCGGTATTATAGATTTTAAAGTAAGCAAATGTCAAGTAAATGACAGAAATAATAAAGGATGGAATCGGTATCGCCATTGCGTACACCAGATTTAGGGTATTTTGCCACATATCCAAATCTGTGATGACTAAGCCGGGATCAACGCGACTGTAGTAGCAAGTGTAGTTAGTGCCTAGAGCTCGATACTTGCCAAGAAATATTGTGCAATTCAAAATAGGAGGATAACCACAGCCTTTCACGTTCGGGAAGAGGCGAGCTCCAGTAAAGTACCATTCTGAATCATTTCCTTGCAAACCAGTCGGTAACGCTTCGGGTAGATCCGGCTCCTCCATCTCAGAATATGTTTTATCTGCCGATATCTCGTAGTTATAATCGTAGTCCTTTCTTAGAGACCGCTCCTCCCTCACAAGATTCTCATATTCGGAGTCAGTTAAATTAGTCGCGTTTCCAAGTTTGTAGTTAACTCTGATCTGCGTGCACTCATAAAGATCCTTGGTGCATCCTTCTCTGCATGATGCCCAAGTGCAGTTACTGGCGCCCACCAAGTGCTTCACTTGGGCGGTGACGCATAATGCCCCCACTGGATCGAATTGCATGAATATAGTGGTAAATGCAGGCTCTATCACGAAGGGGACTAAGAATAAGAAGGCAAATAGGCTGAAGGTGGCAAGTAATACAAATGTTGCTGTAGTGTAGAACAGTAGCTTCTCGAGAAATGTGGGGGGTATCGGCAGTTTTTCTTCTTCGGCCATGTTGGCGAGGGTACGCTAGTAGCGACCATAGCGCTTGTTTCAGCTCGGCTGTGTCATTTCATCTAAAGTCCCATGCCACTTTTTGCAAATGTGAATGTCGTTGAAGAAAAAGCTTGTGTATTTTTGTATTCCTTCATTTATATTTTTGCTGCAAGAACCTGAGAACACGTCAGCTTTAGGGAGGTGAGATTTATCTAACTAAAAAAATAATGTAACTTTTGTTTGGCTGATACGATTCCATCTACATAGTCGCTACCAATGTTACGGATTTTATTTTCTTTTACAATTAATCTAGTTACTTCTCTTAAATGCGAGAGATAGCCATTAATCATGGGAAACTAACGATAATCCCTTAGGTACATTGTATCTTGCAACTTGACGCCGTCCTACTAATAAACGCGCAAAAAAGTGCCATTTATTCAGAACAAAGATTGATAGCTCAGTTATTTTTGTACCATAAAATTCTTGGCGTTGTACAATGCGTGGTGTATTTATGACCTAATAGAATCAAGAGAGACGGAGAGCCGGGGAGAGAGAAAGAGTTGTTTGTAAGAACGAAATATTATTAAGATAGTTGTTTATGAAACACAAAACGAATTAATGAAATATGCTTATAATCTTAATGCTATGTCTCTTTCCTTATATTTGACACCACGATACGTGGACAAACATGTATTTAGGCGCCAGACAGTCTGGACCAGATGCTGCCTCATTGTATTGATTTAGTCTAAAATTAGCATAGCGAACATTGCATTGAGCGATATTGCGGAATTTTTGATTCGACATGTATGTATATCTCGAACATTCGAAAAAAAAAATTCATAACGCCCCATTTCCCTTTAATAGTTGCGCTATTGCATGCATTCGCTGAATATGGTTTATTATTTGTTTTAAAAATTATTCATCGTTCCGTTTGAATTGAAATCGAATTTTTAATGTAAAGTAAAATTTCGCTTCAATTGAGACAATATTTATTGAACGCTTTTACTTTTGGCACTTTTACAATTATAACACTTCTACAAGTATACTATTTTAGTTCATTACTTTCAGTTATTACTTACGCCACCCGTGCTTCATGCCTACATGGACATGAAAGCAGGCCTATATTGATTTCATCCAACACAATATTGCCCAGTTTCCATTGGGTTTATACTGTTATGGCTTTTAACGTCTCTGTAACAGTTGCCAATGGGCTCGAAGATAAACGCTTCGAGGATAAGTTATTAAGTGATGCATATCGGAAATTTCGACCAGCACTTTATTCGTCATCAGATGTCTATTAGTGCGGATGCACTGTCTTTGCGCCCTTTTGAAGGCAGACAGCTAATAAAAGGGAAATACTGTTTAGTAAGATGGTCCGATCGAAGGTAGTTACTGTAGATAACATTTCGACTCCTTTTCAAACATAGAGTTGAGACGATTGCCTTCTTCGGGCTTTCTGCCAGAAAGTATGAGCACATCCTGAACACTTGCAAAGCAGGCCATCTTTAGCCTTCGTTGGTCCAGAAATAATAGGACAGCGTAGTTATTCGATCCTCGGTCTAATACGTCAGCTCAACGGAATCTAAAGAAGCCATTTTTTTTTTTCTATGTAACGTTCTTATAAAATGGTGATTTTGCGCGATATTATGATTAGGTTAAACTTAATAATCACTTACAATTTATTTTCGATTTTTGTTTAGGTAATTGTAGTTTGTAAACACACAATATGTACGAAAACTGTATGTACTGCATGTAGTTCTTAGAACCCACAAAAATACGTGTTTTAATGCCGCCTTCCTTCAGAAAAGAAGAAAACACAATATTGCCCCTAAATGTATTGTAAAAACAACTTTTGCATCCAGACAATACAAAAACCAATCCAGTAATCTTTATAACCACATTAATAAGCTGCTAAATGTGTATCCATTAATTGCATACGAGTGTAATAGAAGGGTGACTAAATGGTTAAAATCCAAAGATTATAACGAAATTGAAAACATTTTGCAATTCTCGATTTAAGAAAACATACACCCACACACACAACACACATACACACACATACACACACATAGACACACACACACACACACATGCACGCATGCACACATGTGCACGCGATTCACAATGCAATTTTTTTTTTCAACATTCATCCGTACTATCTTTCAATAAGTTATGATATTTTTAAATATTTAATAATTAATCAGTTGATTGTTACCGGTGTGGAGGAGCGGTGACTTCTGACATAAGTATTTGTATACTTAAAAGGAGTTCACCTGCAACAATATGTGTAACCTAGATTAAGTTAAGTCAATAAAGTTTTTGTATTTTTTTGTATGTAATTTTTTACCTGATGGTAAGCGACACGCCTACCCATAACAGTTACAGTGCTACTCAGAGCTTAAAATCGCAAAGTTCTGAGTAGCGCTGCCACTGGACCCGCCACCCTGAGGCACAGGTCCCATGTGTTTGTAATTTCACAAGCATCCCTACCCTTCAAAACCTGCAAAATACGCAGTAATCTGAGTATGATCTGAACGCAGTATTGCCACATTACCCATTTCTGCCGCCAAGCATAAATGTGAGCATTACTGCGAAGGATATGGGTGCTGCTAAAATTACAGACACATGGGACTTATGTCTCAGGATGATTGGCGCAGTGGCAGTGGCTGATCTTTGCGAGTTAAAGCTCTAGTAGCACTGCAACTGTTATGGACAAGTGTGTTGCTTACTACTGCGACAAGCACGATATGTTAGGCCCGTCACTTTCTTTTTTTTTTAAATGTACTTATTATTTACGCTTCTTAAAACCAAAAAAGTGCAGGGCCTTGAATGTGATATTGCCTTGCTAAAAGGTGAAAGAGGAGATCCTAAGATCGATTACCATCGAAGGGAAATACAGTACTGATTATTTTTGATTCGCTTACTACTACATTTACAAGTTTTAACGATGAATGAAATTATCGTGATGAAAAGTTCCTATCATAGAAGGTACACATGATCTCTTACCCTTGAGCTCAGGGGTTATGTGGGGACTGTCCCTCCAGACTGGAGGGCCTACCCCACTGACCCCCCCCCCCCCCCCGGGTTTACCTCTCGCCGTTTGAGTCGGCGCCGTGGGGCTGGTGAACATTCACCACGACAGTCAAGATCCACCTAGGAAGTAAGCCTTGAGTTCAAAATGCAATTGTGTCTCTAGATAGATAGATGTCACGTAGATTGGTGTGACTGAAGATCGAATCTTTACCGTATTCCGTAAACGATTAGGCAGATTAGTCCTTGAAGATGGATACCCGTACGTAATGTCTTTTTTGGCCTTAAAAAATCATTTGTTTGATATTATTACGGAAATATTAATTGACAACCTCATCAACAATAAATAACCAACAAAGTTATAAGAGAAACTTGTAAAAGTTTTATATTCTCACATCTTGCCAAGCGGTGTTACCGCTTAACTGAAGAGATAGAAATTGCAGATACTTTCTTTTGCACATGATTTTAAATTATATACTGGGTACAATGGATTACATATTCTTATATATTTCTTAATACCTATACATTTGTGTGTGAAAAAAACGAAAATTTTTTAGTATGTATATATATATATAAACATATGGTATTTTTTTATTTCACTTCACATTCTCAATACATTTCTAAGATCGTATGCAGTTTAAAATATTTTCAAGGTAAATGCTAAAGTAAATAACCTATATCTCTTTAGTTTTCTCAAATCTGTTCAGAAAAACAAGTAAACTTCTTACAATTTTTTCAATGAAAACAATAAACGTTTTGATACAAATTACGCAAAAAAAAACATTTATTTTATTTAACGCAAGACTTCCTAAAAACATTGTTTTTAATATTTCGTCCTTACAAACCATTGTTCCTTGAGAAAGACCTGTAGTGTCCTCTCGGTGCAATTGTTATTTACTTTGTCAAATTCCTTGTAATTATATGTATGTCATTACAAGGAATTTGCCAAAGCCATTACTTAAATTAAATACGACCAATAACTGACATCACTACTTCCGAATTGATAAAACAAGTCACAGGTATTTAAAAAAGTCAAGTATTTTCATCTTACTAACAATACTAAAATATTTTACATACGTAAAGAACACGAGTTGCGAATGGGGCCAACAGCACAAAATACATTAGGGATCATGCTCTCCGATGACGGTCTCATTCAACGCATATAAATAAGTAGAAAAACAAATAACTAACCCAAAACCAATTCCTTACAGTTTCTTTTTGAACCCCAAAATCTAAGGTCCTAGTAGCTCTACGTATTTTATACCACTATTACATAACCTAACCTAAGCGTGGAAACCCTTCTGACGTCACAGACACTAGTTATATTAAATTTTCAAAAATATTCACTGTATTTTCTAATCTCACTCCAGGCATACATAACAAATTGAAAAATAACTACTTTTACGTAATTCAAAGTTAGGGACGCAAACAGCAATTATAAGGTTAGGTACGTATTGATCGTATTTTTTTTACTTTAATTTAAATTCGTATCTAGTATTTGCAACGATGGTATCAGCAACTGCCATAAAATATTATTAATAAAACTGATAAAACATGAAATGGTTATGCATCGCAGCATAATGCAGCTGTGGTTACGAGGTGTTGTCAGAAATTTCCATATGGAAAAGATACGGGCGTGTTGTAAAAATAGTTAACAAAAAACTAATAATGAAAATGAAATGTAAATGGTATGATTCTATTTGAAATGTGTGGTGAGAAACAAAAATAATTGACTATGAGTTAAGTAAACCAGCCTCCTAAAAGCGTCTGTCCATGATATCAGGTACGTGCACAGTTCTAGTTTAACGAGAAATTAATGTGGCACCTCGTGTAGTGAACAATTAGACCATTCTCGTTTCAAACACGTCTTGAAAATGGGCTTTCTTTTGAAAAAACGTCTGTATTTCATGAGACGTCCACGCGATCCCGCGACTCGGTAACTACTGGGCGCAGGCTTTATCGTGACGGCCGTATTGGCACTTCAAAACCCTCTATGTACACGTTCACCACTACACAGCCTAAAAATTTTAGCACAATCGTGGTTGTCAAGAAGTAGAATAACTAAAATAAAGTCGAAACTATCTTTAACGTAACTTTTTTTTTGAAAATCAGGAATTTTTATTAATACATGTTAAACTGGTCTAAAAATTACAAAAAAAATACAGGAGCTTCAGAATAAAAAGCAGCCACAAATACTGTAATTAAAAAATAATATATCATGCAAATCGTTGCAAATTAAATTATTTTACTTTCACGGCCGCACATACGCTAATTTGAGTGCGCGCGTCGACCTAGTCGGGTCGATACAGCCAGTCATGTGCTACGCCACTATATGGCGACAGACAGTCTTTCTTGTTTTACAATTCCGTGTTTCTCTCATACACTATTACTCACACTGTCTTTCATTTACTCAATCGTCTCTCATTACCCTACTGAATGCAAAAAGTTTACATCCGTTTCGAAAGCTACAAAATACAAAAAATATTTTTCGGTCGACGATTCTTCATGTGCGCTTTGTCCCCGATCACAGAATAATGTTTTTGTTACTGAAGTAACA